TGAAACTTAGGAGATTAAAGGAGCTAGCTGGGATGTCCAGGAAGGCTTCATGAGGGACTTGGCAACACACACACTTACACACCCCTAAGCAGAGAAATTATTAAGTGCTGCTTAACATATTGCTCTGTTGAAGTTTTGGGAGAGATTACACCTTGAAGGGGATATGGTATAGGAGGATGGGAATTGAGAGAAAAGAACACATGCTTGATGATCAGCATTGGAGGGCTTGGGTCAGTCAACTAAGAAAGCATTTAAAAATAGATAAGAGATGGTTGGTGAGCCTCAATCACAAAAGACTGGATGGAAGCAAACTGGATGCTCAGCACAGAGCTGGGGTTTGGGGAAATTATGAAGAAGCTGTGAAGTTAAGAGTGTAATTGGCTTGTGGGGGTAGCAGCTTTTTTATGAAGCAAAGGGCTGAACCTTGGACCCAGATAGAAAAGATACACCTTTTCATGATCTGAGGGGGCTGGAAGTAGAAATAAAGGAGAACCACATAGTAACTCCCATGTATATAGTAGCACTTGAAAGTTTGCAGAGCACAATGGATACACAATCACATTTGATCTCATAACTTCCCTGTGAAGTAGATATTACATGTGTTCCTTGCTACATTTTGCGGATGAGGAAACAGGCTCACAAAGGCTAAGTGACTTCTACTCCGGGTCCAGCATTCTTTCTACTATGGTTTTATGCATATATTTCACTATGTCTGCCCCTAATTAAATTATAAGTTCTTAAGAGCAGGGACCAGGTATGGATTATTTATTTCTCTTGGCATTGCAATTTTACAGGTGTACTTCCATAATTAGACATTGGTATGATCCACTATTCTGTTCATTTCTTAATGTAGATTAGACCTAGGAATTTGCCTCTGGCACACTTACTAGTCACACAGCAGGATTGGAATCTTCTCTTACCACCTCCAGGTGGAGCACTCTTTCTCCAATAGTATGCTGACTCTATGTACATATGCCCCTTGTTAAGGGCAGGACTGTGAATATCTAGTCTGGTTTATTACGCTGTAGTACTTAGATGAATCCGTGATTCATTCACTGTATGACTTACTGGATAAATCCTAGGAAGGAGCATAGAAAATAAGGGACTTGTCTAAGGTCCCATAGCTACTAAGTGTCAGAGGCTGAATTTCAACCCTCATCATCCAGAAACTAAATTTAATGTACTCTCCGTTACACCACTGCCACCTGGATTCAGACTTTGCCTTTCATGTGTTTGAAGGGTAAATCCATAGGTATCCCTTGGAAGAGTACATCAGAAAGTTATTGGTATTTTTCTGTGGTAATGGAATCCTAATGGAAAATCTTTTTAACCTCTGCTGGGGGGGGGGGGGGGGGGGTGATAATTTGTACAATCTCCTTGGGGCTTTAGGCTGCATTAAAGACCATGGGATGAAAGATATCAAAAGGATGTGAAGACTGTTCTCATGCCTCTTTAGCTTTATTTGTTCTTTGCCACAAGCCTGTGTTTCAGTGGCAAGAATTCTGGACTTCGTGTAAGAGGAGGGACTGGGTCCAAATTCGCTTCCATTACTAACTATAACCATCGACAAGTTTTTTAACATCAGTAAACTCAGTTTACCTAATTGCAAAATGGGGGCAATACATGTAACATCTTTCATAGGACTGTTGTGAGAATCAAATGAGATAATGTATTTCATTACTATACGTAACTATTGCAAAGCGCTTTGCAAATCTTAAAAGTGCCATATGTTATTTATCAGCTATTACTATTTCCTTTCCTAGGATCAAACTACCACTATACATTTCTAAGATGCCAGGCCACCAGGGAGTTGACAGTTTTTTGGATCACTCTTATTTTCTTTTTTTACCACCAGAGTTCCCTCTACTAAAAAGTTCAGCAAGTTCATATTACCCCTAGAGAACACCTGGCAAACACTGAATTGCCCTCAGGTAGAATAGTTTTCTCTTTTCCCATAGCTCAAGTTCCCTGGTGCTGATTACTGGATCTCAGCCTTGTTCCCTGATCCCCAGGGGAAAGGAGACACACAGCATCCCAAACCTAGTCACCCAGGCTGCCAGCCCTTCTCTTCCCTCATCTTCTGGATCATAGCTCAACTTTGCTCCTTTCTCTCTTTAGCCCCTCTTGGGCTCACTGTTCCTTTCCTAGTTACCCCCCCCCCCAATTCCTTTCCCTGTTCCTCGCCTGCCCCGCCTCTCTGCTTTGGACGCATCTCTGAGCCCCATCATCACCAAGCGCCAGGCACTCCCTCTCTCCCTCCCTCTTTTCTCCTCCCTCCTTTCCTCCCTCCCACCTCCTGCACCAGGAAACTGCCTAGAGCCTGGGGAGCGGCCTGACCCGTGAGATCCCTAACCTGGCGGGCTGGGGGGTGGAGACGGGGTTGAGGGTGGGGGTAAGGGAGGGGCAGGAGCAGGCCCTGTGGGTTGGGTTCTATGTGTATGTGGCGGGGGGGTGCGGGGAATGTTATGCACCGTAGTCCCCTCTGTCTGAGGCTTCCTGAGGAGAACGGTCATTAAACATGGATTCAGTCAGTAACCACAGCTGGCAGAGGGGTGGGGGCTGGGCCTGGGTCTGGGTCCTAGGGCTACATCTAGTTTTCCCGACCACTGACCATAATCCCTACCCTCCACCCCTAGGGCTCCATAGCTGGGAGGATGCAAGGCCTCAGCTGGGGGCTCCCAGCCACCAGCGCTGTGTCCTAGGAGCTGCTGCCCAGGCTTGGTAAGTGTCCTCAAAATCTTGTTAACCCTCTATTTCCCTCATCTTTTCCATTAATATCGTTTAACCCCTTTTAGCCTATATGTACACTGTATTAATATATACTACATTAATCTTGCTCCTCCCACCCTGCTTTTGGGAGAATTCTAGCCTCTGCTCTGTCCTAGCTTGCCCTAGGTACTTAAAAGCAGGAAAGGTGCTGCTCTTAATTACTCTTAAGAGAAACAGCAAATTTCACTTATTATTTGTAATATTTATTGGTTTGATGACCAAATCTACCTTATTATTGCTTCATTATCTCATTGTCTTTATTTCATTTCTTACTTCTATTCTCCATAGCTCATGCTGTCACACTAGGGTGGTCAAACCTGAAAAATGCCCATTTGGGTTCTGTCTGGTTATGCCTAGCCTATAGTGGAGCATGGCTCATGTCCAGTTCTCTTCTCTCTGTCTTTTATAGCCACCCAGATGGCGACTCCAGCCTCAGCCCCAGATACTCGAGCCCTGGTGGCAGATTTTGTGGGTTACAAGCTAAGGCAGAAAGGCTATGCCTGTGGAACTGGCCCAGGAGAGGGCCCTACAACTGAGCCCCTGCACCGGGCCATGCGAGCTGCTGGAGATGAGTTTGAGTCCCGCTTCCAACGCACATTTTCTGATCTGGCTGCTCAATTGCATGTGACTCCTGGCTCAGCTCAGCAGCGCTTTACCCAAGTCTCAGATGAGCTCTTCCAGGGGGGGCCCAACTGGGGCCGTCTTGTGGCATTCTTCGTCTTTGGGGCAGCGCTGTGTGCAGAGAGCGTCAACAAAGAGATGGAACCACTGGTGGGACAGGTGCAGGACTGGATGGTGACCTACCTAGAGACCCAGCTGGCAGATTGGATCCACAGCAGCGGGGGCTGGGTAAGAGGCTTCCCTTTTCTACTATAACTGCACATTCCCCAGAAAAGCTTGCCTCACTTGGGGAGGGGGAACAGTTGTGATGGGGAGGCTGGTCTCTGATGGAATGGGAATATAGTTGATATTGCATGGTAAATCTAGGGTGTGGGGGAAGAGCAACGGTTTGGGTGGAGTTAGGCCATCAGGGTGGAGAGGCAATGTTAGTCAACATTTATGGAGTTACTACTGTGTACAGTGTGAAGTTCTGTGCACTCTGGGAAAATATAAAAGTCCCCATCATTAAAGAGTTTATAATCCAAAGGGGGAGACAGAATAAATACACATGAAAAAAGGGTAAAGAATACATGCAAGGAAGAGAGGTCCAAGGTAATTCATATTTAAGTTTAAACATAAATCCCAAGATAGCATGGGGGAGCAAGAGTTGTGACCAGAGCGG